TTTTGTTTATTATTTCGAAAAGTAAACAAAATTTGAAATCTGAAAAACTTAATTTTTCTCCAATTGAAAGATTTCACTCAGAATGTTGAACGATTGAAAAATCGAAAATACTAAAAGTGCCGACTACTGGTACACTTACCCTATGTCGTGAAATATAAAAATATAGAACTTCAATAGCAGAAAAATGAATAAATTGTTTTCGGAGTCGAGTGACTTCACTAGCCCTGAGTGACTTGACTGGCCCAAGATCAACAATAGTGACATCTGCCGGAAGGGGAAATTTTAAAACTTTTTAGTCTATACCTTTATTTGTCTATGCCTTAACTAATAGTGTTAGGTTTTTGTTCTTAATTGGGAATTTTGACTTTCTAAGTATTTCCTAATGTTTTCGTGGTCTTCATTAGTGATTTTTTAGGTGTATTAAACTTTTGCTGATAATGTTGATTGTAAATAGATTATGCTTCAAAATTTCTTTAAGTTTGATAGTAAAATTTGGCATGCATATTATATATTTTTATAGTTGGTGGCCTTGCCTTACCTTAAGTTTGATTTTTGCTGTTGTTATCATATCCGGGAATTTAATATTCCGACTCAATTGAAAAACTCAATCAGAGTTGTTGTTGTCCTGTTTCCTTTGAAAATTGAGAACCACTGGCATTGCGGTTCCGAATGAAATGAAGTAGGTTGATAAAATTTTACTGAAATGTGTATTATATCTGCAGGACTTATGGTATTGTAGATCCACGTTTTGATATAGCCCCCATATAATGGTACCCCCTTTTTGTTGTTTCAAATCTGGTATTTAAAGTTCGTAAGAGATACTACGGTCTATGATAGAGAATTGTCTGTGCTGGTCCCCGTTTTCGTATAGCCCCCATATAACGGTACCCTCCATATTTTGATGATTTTAGCGACATTATTCACTGGAATTGTTTTAAATTTGGTGTTTGAAGTTCGTAATGAATACTACAGCATTAGACAGAAAATTGTATGTGCAGGTCCATATCTTCGTATATCCACCATATAACGGTATTTCCCGATATTCTGTATTTTGATGGCTTTAGCTACATTATTCCCTGATTTTTTTTTTTTTTCAAGTTTCGCATTGTAATGGCTTATGACAAAAGTTGCCTATGCAGGTTCACGTCGTCGCATTGACCCTAACATAACGGATATATTCGTGAATTTTAAGATTTCAACAGCATTTTTAACGGATTTTATTTTTTGAAAACTGCCAAATTCGTTCCAAATGGTGGATCGGTATCGATCGGCACGTTCGAACTTACAGCTTTTTAATTGTTATGATATAAATTTTGAAATAATCATCAAAATGTGGTTTATGTAAACTATTTTGTGACACCAATAAATTGTAGAAATGTTTATTTCTGTTGTTATTTGGTGTATAGTTTTTATATTTTTGAAAAATTTTCTACATTATATTTTAATTAACAATGTCCAGAATTAGAATAATGCAAAAAACCACCCAGTTTAATGCATTATTTTGTGAAATCTTAGTAAGATTTTTTTATTGTATAAAGTAATTTTTGTCATACTGTATTTACAATTATAATAACCATATAAATATTATGGAAACTGCAGTCCCTTACGTTCTCATTTTAATATCTTACATCTATTTAAATCTAAGGTGAAGTATACTTAGTTTTTAAAGGTAATTCTGCTAATAATTATTTAATCTAATGAATAATCCTAAATTAAGTCTTACTCTTTCACATTTTATTTTTTCTCTTACCAATATAGCGGTACCTCAAATCCTAACCTTTTTCCTATGCTGTAGGTAACAATATACGCGCCTATCCCAAATCTCTGGTTTGACATATTTTGCATTTAGCCCAAATCAGGACCTCATCGTGGAATAACCGGATGTAGTGTCTGTTGGGCGTCGGTGTAACGGCGTTGATGTTGGCCAATATAAATGTACAAAACCTAACCATCTATACCTAAATACCTCTCCTTTCGTCCAAGTTAACTCGCTGACTACCTTGCCACTGATGCAGAATTAGCCTTTTAACCGCCTGGTCGTCGGCTAATTTAGCCAAAAGCTTTAAGTGAGTTGGACATGCATGAACATGCTTCTTTTTGCGTTTCCGTTGCGATACTGCACCGCCGACGGGTACTGCATTATCAACCACCACAAAGATTCTAGCATCGGGCATTGGGCAAAGATATTAACATTGGGCACATTCATGGTGACCAAACACCCTCCTATGTGGGCTAAGTGCCGACGACAAAATATTTTGTAATTTAGTTGTTGAAAAAATCGTCAGGCTTAATCTCATTATTGTTGTTTTTATAAAACAACATTTGTTTATTAGTTGAGAACGATGGTAATATATATATATCATCAAATATTAAGACATTCAATCTCTTTTTTTTTCTTCCCTGCCTGGACCTACGTTTCGAAAGAAAATTTCTCGCTGTGGCTCTGGGCCTAAACCCCGTTGTTAATGGCGAATTTTGACGACTATCCAATAAATCAATATATAACGTCATAACGTTAAAATAGTAGGCGTTTTTATAATTGATGAGCCACAAAAATGTCAAATACTTGATAGACAATGTGGAAAATATAGATGTTTTATTAAGAAAACTTTTGTCACCAGTGACTTTATTGAACTTGCAAGAGAGAGGGCTGCTAGTTGACGATAATAATTTTATATATTACCACAGAAGGTACCATTAATATGACCCTAACAGAAATCCAGTATACATAATGGATCAATAAATCTGTAATTATTGTATATAGTAAGTTTTAAGTAATAATATAAATTTTATGAATATTATCCCCTTTTTGATTATTTGGGCAAAAACAAAACAACTTATTAGGTGTGTCTGGTTACCCTAAAATTTGTAACAATTGTTACAAATTGTTACTGGAAGTCGTCTGTTAACCCGAAAGTTCTACAAAAGAGAGCGGTTGGAGAGAGAAATTTTGACAGTTCTTTCAGTGAGAGTTTGCTAATTCTTGCTGGATAATTATTTTCTTGAAATCTCTTGCAACTCTTCTTCTTCTCATTCATCGACATTCAATCAGATGTTTTCTATTGTTTATTTATTTCAGTTTGTAATTTTATTTTAAAATTATTGTTTTGGAATTAACAAGACTAATTGTTTTTGGAGAACAACTTTACAAAATGTGAAAAACATATACATTAATATGTAATAGAAAATAAAAGACTATTTACAACATTTTTAGACAAATGCCATTAGCAACAGGTTTAAAGGATTCCGCGGAACACATCAAATCTATCTTCCTTTTATTGCTCATATTTTTATTTTATTGTCAATTTCCTTTTTATTTATAAAACTTGTGAAATTGTTGGTGGTTCCTTTCGTTTAATTCTTTTAATGGGGGACAAATTGGTTTGTTTTGACAAAGCAGCTGTCTATTTACTTTTCGCAATTTCCTTGCAAAAGAGAATAAAACTACCTTACTCTCTCAGAAAGATGTTGCTGGACAATTCCTGCAGGAAAAGTAACCAGACACACCTATTTTAGATTTTATGTCTATATTTAATCTTTTTCTGCACTAATAAACAAACGTTTTTTATAAAAAAAAACAATAAAGGGATAAAGTCTGACCATTTTGCAACAACTATAAATTCTTCTAACTCCTCGCTAGTTCTTGGTATATTGTGATTGTTTAAAAATGCCGTATTAATACAAAACCATTAATCGTTTCTATAGTAGATGTGCTAAACAAAAAACTGCTCAAAAAAAAGGAGATATTGCATCGCTGATGTTTGTTTACGTATACATATAAAACAAAAAAAAATATAAAAAAATGATGTATGGTAAATATGGTTAAATAAATCCAGATTAAGCAATAAATCTTAATAATATGGCTTAATCCCGATAACACTTTGTATTTACACGCTGTACAAAATACTTTGTACATACTTTTGAGTGCGATTGAGGCGCTGGGAAAATGTAGCAATAAAAATAAATGGTCTAAAATTAAATATTTCCCAGCCGCCATAAAATATCACATATGAAGAATTCAGTGATCTTGTGCGCTGACGCATACGATAATGTGAGATAATAAAGGTTATGACCCACAGGCACAGATATCGATGCGCTCAGTAGATGCACAAGACCACTTGAATGAAATTACAAGCAGCCTTGCAATGTTATCCATTCAATATTAGAATAGATAAGAACAATTGTGTGGCTGCGACTAGGTTAAGTTAGATTAGTTTCAGTAGTACGTAAGGAACATATTTCTTAAATAAAATCAGAATTGAAATAACACCCCAACGAAGCGGTCGGGTTTCTTTTCTCACAGAAAAAGGGATAGAGTTGACAATCGAAGAGGGAGATTGGACACTATTCTAATTAACACACGCGCTTTAAGATATTAAAATATTATTGAAGTGAATGAAAGATTTCGGCTGATTAGAATTAAGAAGGTTACATCTATAATAAATTTTTTTATGTTAGATTGTTTTAAAAATAACACATTGAGGTGATAGCTTAGATACCGATTGTGCTTTATTATTCTATGTAGTGTTTTCTGGTGTCAAATAGTTCAACCTAAGTCAAGACCCTCAGAATAAGTTAATATGTCCTTATATTATTTGCCACTTATTTAAAAATTAGATCTAAAAATTGTATGAATTATCTGTGGCATGAAAGAGCATACATTTTTAACAATAATAATTTTCGGTTGTAAAAAAATCTTTTTGCAGCAAATGGACAATTTTAAAAATGCAATTTGTAGGAAAATCATGACTGTGTAATTTAATATAATATAAAGAGCATGACATGTCTTCTTCCTTGAAGAACAAACCCTCGTCACATTTTTAGTGATCGCTAGATCTTCTAAGATAACACAAAACAAGAACAATTTGGAGTTACAAATTTAATTGGGAATACACACACACACACACAAGCAGAGGGTTGTAGAACTTTAAGATTGTTGGTGGCACACCATGTCTGTAATAAAGTTAATTTTATTTTTTTCTCTATTTACAGTTGAAGGTGAACAAATAACCATAATTCGTAACTGACACCGTGGCATACAAGTGGAGCACGACCAGTGAAATTACATCAAACATGATATGTTGTTCCCGGATGAGACATACGAAGATTATCATCGACGCATAAGTTTGACAAATACTCGTAGCAAATCTACAGCAACGTCATTGCCAAATACCACCACTACAAGCGAAGGGAGCCTTAAGAAAGACAATTCCAAACGCAAGGCTGCATCAAGTGGCAGCAGTGAGCGGGAGAGTAGTTGTACTAGCAGTAATAGTGGCAGTTACAAAAGGTGTAACGAATTCTTTGACAATATACCGGAGCTCGAAGAAGAGGAACATGTTCCCCACTTTGATCGACAGCATGAGAAAAGTAAACAAAGGACACCAAAACATCGCCAAAGCAGTAACGGATACGGCGACGAGTCTTCAGATTTGTCCACAAATCCATATTTCTTGCGAAGGTGTGAAGCGTATATGCGGCAATATGGAATACGGCCTGATTTCTTTTGCCAGTATTACAAAGCTGTTTGGTAAATATGAAACACAATTTGGATATTAATCATTATATCTATAAATCGTTCTCAATCCGCGCTTTTATTTGCAGTAATTCAGCATCGGCTTCATCTTCAAGCAGAAATACTCCTTCTCGAAATAAGCAAATCAAGAAAATTTCATATTCATCTAAGGAACATTCCAAGTCTGGCTCGCCTAGAAATCCCATAGCAAGTAAAACTTCTTCGTCGGAAGAAATGGTCCAAAGATTTACCAAACGTTCGGCAATATATACTTTACCGATGACCAAAAGGAAATTAGATGTCCATGACAAGATCGCAAATAATGAGACAACAGGTAAGCAGATTATTAATATGTATAAATTATTATTGAAATAGGGTCCTGTAGTGGGATTTTACTAACACATTTCTTTTGAGTTTTATTTGCCGAATTTGATCGAAAAATTTCGGTGAAATTAAAATTCAAAAATTTGAACGAAAAGTCTAGATTAAAGTTGGCCGCTAACTTGCCGAGAAATCTCTTTAATTAGCGAAGTTATGAGTATTTTAAAAATATATAACAAAATGTTTTCTGTTAGTATGTAGATTTCACCCTGGATTTAAAATAAATCTGGTCGTGAGAAGATCTATTTTTATATGGCAATTCTTGTCGAATTAATACAGATTAAGCAATAAATCCTAATAATGTGTTTTAATCTGGATAAAGCAAATACTAACGCATTCGAAAGGGGTGATAACAATGGAAGTCATTCTATCCTCGTTTTAAAAGTGTACAACCCTATTAGGAAGGCAATATGTTAACCTTTCCTAAACTTAGGTATTTATCCACGTAGGTTTTTTTATACCGTCCACCTTGGAAAGGAGGGTATATTAACTTTGTCATTCCGTTTGTAACATCCCTAAATATTCATCGTAGAACCCATAAAACATATATATTCATAATCAGCATAAAATTCTAATTCGACTAAACCATGTCTGTCTGTCTGTTGAAATCACTATACAGCCCGCATTAATTTAGCAGAACAATTTGTATTGTATCTAGGATGGTTGGTATTGAAAATGAGATATATCGGTCCATGTTTTGGTATAGTCCCCATATAACGGTACCTTTCGATATTCGGAAGTTTGATGATTTTTGCCTCATTTTTTCCACGGATTTGTCTAAAAATTGGTATTTGTAGGTCATAATGGGTTCTAGCTCGTGTGGCGAAACATTGTATAGGTATAAGTTTTGGTATAGCCCCCATAGAACGCTACCTCCCGATATTCGGCGTTCTAATGATATCTCTAGCTCGTGTGGCGAAACATTGTATGTATATGTCCACGTTATTTTTGACACAATTTTTCACGGATTTGTCCAAAAATTGGTATTTGTAGGGTATAATATGGGTTCTAAAGCCCCCATACAATTGTACCCCCCAATATTCGGTATTTTGATGATTTTTGGACGCAATTTTTATCGAATTTGTCTAAAAATTGGCATTCGTGGATCAAAATGGGTTCTGGCTCGTATGGCGAAACATTGTATGCATAGGTCCACGATTTTGTCCCTCTCAATATTCGTTGTTTCGATGATTTTTCCCACATTTTTCACGGATTTGTCCAAAAATTTATATTTGTAGGGTATAATGGCTTTTAGCTCGCGTGGCGAAAAATTATATGTAAAGGTCCAGGTTTTGGTATAGCCAATATACAGCGATACCTCCCGATATTCGGTATTTTGATGATATTTGCCACATTTCTTAGCGGATTTGTGTAAAAATTGTTATTTGTGGGTCATAATGGGTTCTAGCTCGGTGGCAGAACATGAATATTTAGTTCCACGTTTTTCTATAGCGCACATATAACGATACCGAGCGATATTCAGTATTTTAATAATCCCAGTCATATTTACCCACATAATTGTTTCAAATGGTCCCATATAACGGCCTCACTCACTTCATAGTTTTTTGATATGCAAACGATCTTACAGGTATGTGAAGTTTAAAGTGAAACACGCTTGAATTGAGATACTTTTATGTAAACTTTTTCATACGGAATAGTTAATTAAGTTCATGAAAGAATAAATTAATACGTTAATTCTGTTAAAATCTTAAAAATGCCGAATGTAGCTGTTATATTAGGGTCAATACGATGACATGAACCTGCATAAGTAGCATTTGTCATAATCGGTAACAATGTAGCTAAAATCATCAAAATACCGAATATCGGTAGGTATCGTTATATAGGGCTATACGAAGACGTGGACCCGCACAGACAATTTTCTGGCATAGGCTGTAGTATACATTACGAACTTCAAATTCCAAAGGGAGGTAACATGGGGGTTAGCGACATTATTCACCGGAATTGTTTCAAATTTGGTATTTGAAGTTTATAATGGATACTACATACATACAGAAAATGAGCCATGTAGGTCCCCATATAACGGAATCCCCCGATATTCGGTATTTTAATGATTTTAGAGACATTATTTACCGGAATTATTTAACATTTTGTATTTGAAGTTCGTAATGAATATTACAGTCTATGCCAGAAAATTATCTGTGCAGGTCCACGTTTTATAACCCCCGTGGTACCTCCCTATATTCGGTATTTTGATGATTTTAACTACATTATAAACGGATTTTTTTCAAGTTTCGCATTTGAATATTGTAATAGCTTGTGACAAAAGTTGCCTATGCAGGCCCACGTCGTCGTATAGACCCAAATATACGGCTACATTTGGTATTTTAAGATTTTAATAGAATTTTTAACGGATTTTATTTTTTTGAAAATTGCCAAATTTGTACCAAATGGTGGAGGGTATTCAAAGTTCGGCTCGGCCGAACTTACAGCTTTTTAATTTTTTTTTTATTTTTTTTTCTCTAGCAATTGGAGAAAAAACGTTTGAAGCGGGACTTAATATTATACTTTGAAGGAGTTTTCCGAATACAATGCAGCAACCTAAGGACTGAAGGTGTAGGTATAGTGGAGTTTGTAATTATTAACTTGACATTAATATGCCTGGCCATGATGCCAGTTGCTTATGTACTCACACCTTAAAGCTCAGAAAATATATCGAGAAGGGGCTCCGCAACACAAAAGGGGGATTAAGTCATTTGTAGAAGAAATATGAAAAAAATGAAAGGACGAAAGTTTTAATAACGAAATTCTACAAATATCTACATTCACGAGTACTAGGGACCTCTAGTACCGATCTACAGTTATAAAATTGCTTAAAATAACTCAAAAGAAAGAAAAAATATAAAATTAAGAAAAATTACTAAAGTATTGTACCATAACGGATGTGTATACATTTCATTACGACTTTTTCGCAATATAAAGAGTACCTAGTCTATACTTGTACTATTAGGTTCTTTTACTACATTTCATAAATGAGGACTTATCGAAATCTGTTTTGCAACGCTTTGACACAGATAAAGTAATAGCTCTAGGTCGCCATTAGAGGTCCCTATATCTACAGAGGGCTTGTAGATTTTTGTAGGATTTCGTTGTTAAAATGGTGATTTATCATGTTAGTAGCTTTTGAATTTCTGAGAAAAATACATGAAAATGTGGTTTAATGTATTTTGTGACACCTGAAAATTGCAGTAATTTTAATATCTGTTGTAATTTAGTGAATAATTTATATACCTTAAATTTTTTCGTATTATATTTTAGGTAACAATATCCAGCATTTAAATAATGTAAGAACCATAAAATTTTATGCCGCATCATAATCCTATGCTTACTAACGGTCTGTAGATTATTTAGCAAGTAGATACCTGGACACTTGTAAGAGTACTTCTTCCCAAGCTTTACTTAAATGCGCCAAAAAAGGAAATCTTCAAATAAAATTGATTAGAAGGCAACAAGCATGGTACAATAATTACAAAGTAGGGCAGATTGATGAAATTTGAAAAACACAACTCTGAAATTAGAGTCTTTTATTTCAAATTAAGTAACAATAGATGCAAGAAGTTATTTTGTTTATTTGACACTTTTCTCAAACTATTTAATTTTAAGGTAACAATTCGAAAAATTAATAGAACGCATAACATTTCACCTACATCGTAAATACAAATTTAAATTGCAACAGAATTTGAAAAAAATTAGTTTATTATTCAAAACAATACACTCACATACAAAAACTGTTTCGACTACACCCTTTAACGATTACTTAGGGTATTATCTTTATTTATGTGCTTAATCCTTCCAACTGTACGATAATTTATCATAAAAAAAGTAAAAATAAATCACCTTAAAAATTGGATTTGTTTTAAATGCAATGTTAAATCGTATTATTTTGGAATACAACACTGATTTTTGCTCCTAAAAATGCAACTATCGTAGTCTGTGCTAAAATTTACAAATTTTAAAATAGCAGGAATTAATAGAAAAAATGAGAAAATAAACAAGTAAAAAATTAGTAATTTTTTAATGTGAATTTTTAATACCCTCCACAATTTGGAAGGAATTTGCAAATTTTTAATTTTCTGTATATGCAGTTATGTGCACATCAAAAAATACCAAATATTCGGAACTACCGCTTTCTGGGTGGCGAAGAAATCATGGTCATCAGTTTTCTAGAAAAAAGAACCTATTACAAATTCTATATACTGAACTTTAAAACATTCCGCTGAAAATGTGGCTAAAATAATCAGAATACAGAATAACGAAAAACGTTAACCGAATTTTAAACAGTACCCCTAGAAAATGTGAGCTATATCTTCAGAATACCGTATATCGGGAGGCACCGTTATATACGAAATGTTAGCCTATATAGACATCGTTCTGACAAAGGACGCAGAACACAATAGGAAATCTAAGTACCGAAATTTAAACAATGTGGCTTAAATATCGGGAGGTACACCACCCACATATCCCCCACATAGATATAGGAAAACGTGGCCCTATACAGACAATATTCTACCATATGATGTAGTTACAGACACTACACCGACACTAAGTACCAAATTTGCTTCAATCAAAAAAAAAAAAAAAAAAATAAATAAATAATAAATAAATAAATGAATCAAAAATTAAAATCTATATATATAAAAGAAAGTTGTGTTAGTTACTACGCTTATAACTTAAGAACCGCTGGACTGATTTTAACGATTCAAACAAATTCGGAATTTTCTCCTCTCCGAAAAGGATAATATCCAAAAAAATCGCGTAAAAATGTGATATTTTAACATTTTCATTTTGACTTTTGAAATGTACAATAGTAATGTTTTATTTTGCATGATTTTTTTTCCATTTTTACTTACTTTTTTCTAATGTACATTTGTAGTGTTTTTTATATATTTTTTTTTTTTTTTTTGAATTCAAATATTAATACCAATTTATTTAATTGACTTGATTTCTTGAGAAATGAAATTGATGGCGAGTTACATGGAAGCGTAGTACCGAATTATGTGGTGGCGAAACGGAATAGATGATGTCGAAATAATTTAATGGAATCGAATTTTAAAATAGAAGTACATTCTATTGACAAACTATATAAGGATCTTTAAACATTTGCTGTAAAAAAATCAGCGAACAAGTTGAAGATTTTTTCAATGTGTTATTCTTCTTTTGTCAATTTTTTTGTCAATTTGTATTATCTAATTGAATTCGGTAATTTTTTTGCGAACAAAATAAAGAATAATTTTTCACTATATACAAATTTTCACCAAAAAATGAAATAAGTAGGAAATACGATGTCAACTGACATCTACCTTTCAACTCCAGGGCCAACATCGTGGTTCAGCTGGAAGATGCGAACACATTTGAACAAACAAAAATTGCCGAAAAAGCCTAATGGGGATCATTTCAAAGCGTGGAACTACTTCTTTCCTGTCACAAAAATCCGTCCAATGTACAATCAGAAAAATACCAAATATAAAGGGTGGAAAATAGTAGAGCGAATGGGACTTTTAGTAAGAAAAGGATTTATATTCTTCCAGAAATTCTTCCCAAACATTCAAGATAGGTCATGATATCGATCATAACTCACGGATAAGGGACAACCCGATTTCATATTTATATAACCATCGTATGATTTAAGCTATTTTTGGTGTCTTGGTCACTTTTTTAATATTTTAGCCATTATTTGGCATTTTTGTTTCTAAGGAGGTAGAGAACCTCTTCGCATAAAGTTTGAAATTTTCAGAGTAGGGCCCATTTTGATCTTGACCACATTCATTAATTGACTTGGCTAAAGGTTGTATTTATGCTACTCTGGGGTAGGGAACCATCATACAGATAATTGCCACATAGGAATTTATTTAAGTAAAGTCCCCACATTGGCGTATTCCCAAGTCCACTTTCACATCTAATTGGTGGTCAGAAAAAAAATGTTGTTTTCTATTGAATTTGTAACCCCCAAGAGAATATTGGTTGGGCCACGTTTTGGTATAACCCTTATATAAATGTATCCCTGACCTGACAGCTGTGACCGTGGTCTTGGCCACGTTTTTCAACTGATTTGGCCATTATTTGCTGTATTTAGGCTACTTTGTGAGTAGAGAACCATCTTACAGAAAAATGTCAACATACGTAAATATTTTGGTACAGTCACCATATAGTCCCCAGGCCCGCCGATCTATAGTGATGTTTACCGATTGGCGGATAACAACGCGGGTATTGTTTAATCGTTATTGAATTTTACCATGAACAAGAACATAGACTTTTTGGGGACTCTAATGCGCAATTTGAGGTGCTATGGTAATGGGTGTAAAAGCGTAATTAACTTTGACTATTTAGAAATTATTTTGCCCTCCTTCCATAGTTATTTATTTCTATTTAGTCGAATCAATATTTATATTAAATTTTGTTCACCTTTATGAGCTAGATTTGTGAAATATTATGCTATGCAAAATTTGCATTAAAGACTAAAACTACGGGCCGGCAACGCGGACCGGGCCAGCTAGTAAATAAATAAATAGAGAAAATAAATAAATAAAATACAGAAAATCGGGAGGTACCGTTATATGGGTGTTACATGAAATCATGGACCTGTATATACAATAATCGGAATTGATCATAATTTTGTATTAAGATCTCTCTCTCTCTCCCTCTCTTTGATTTTGGTAATAGTAACGGTAAAGCTTCATTTTGAGCTACATTTATTTGCAGTTTCCTATTTAGACCTACCAACTGATATTAAACATATTACGATTTAGTCTTCATATTATCTTCATACCTGAAATTCGGGTTTTATAATCGTATTGGTATTGGTCGGATTATTCAAATATTAAGGTATTTTTCAATAGTTACAAAAAAAACCTGCACTATGTTTAGGTTAGGTTATGTTGAAAAGGGGGGCGAAAAAATCACATGTCCTGGTGGACATAATCTTAAACCAGTATAGACCTGTTGTACGCTCTGGACTAATATATTATAGAAAGAAGACGGTAGTTAACAGTCTGTTATATTAAAAAATTTAGTTGCCTTAATAAATTACTTTAACTGTTTTTATTCTTGTTACCATGATCAGATTAAGGTCTAAGAATTGGGATCTGACATTTGCAAACGTCGGGCATTGACTCAGAAAATGCTCCAACGTTTCATCATCCTCTACGCATGTCCTGCATATGCATGTGGACATCCTATCTTGTAAAGATGAGCTTTTCTGCCCTGGTGCCCGTAAGGATGCCCGTTACCCCACTAATCTCTTTCTTACTTAGTAATAAAAGGTATTTCGCTTTTACGTCATTGGGGTCTCCCCAAAGGATTTATACAGTTTTCGAATTAACTATTTTGGATGTTACAGCTTTTAAGGCGGTCTTATTGCCTATTATGACGATTGCCTGAAATCGCCTTCGGGGAAAGATATGAGGTCGCACCCAGTGGGAGAACTGACAAACACTCTAGGAACCGTACTATATTAACTTTTTCATACCGTTTGTATACTCGAAATACTCATGTTATTCTTGATAATCTAAGTCGATTTAGTGACGTTTGTCTTCTTGTTCCTCCGAATACTCTATATTGTTTATGATGCTCACCAAAAGATACCAACATAGGTCCTCGAAAAAAATATTTTTTCTTTTTATTCCCTCAGCCTTAGGACTACAGAGGGTATAAATCATTTAATCCGCCCAAAACGTACCTCACAGAAACAACGGCTTTAGACCCAACGCTCTATGGACCAAATCCGTTTCAGGACATGTGGAATCGATATGGGGGTGTCCGCACGATAACTCTCGATGGGAGTATCCGATTCACATTTAGAACATCGTAATACTATTACCAAACTCAGATCTAGTTGGGAGATGGGAAATATCGGTCCACTCCTTCTGGTACCTCCCAAATAAAATTTTACAGAAAGTAATTGTCGTTATAGAAGAAGAAATTATCTATAGCAAACATATCTGCATATCTTAATATTTGTAATATTTGGTCCAAGTTGTTCTGTTTATTATATATTTATGTTTAGAAATAATTGAAATGAGTCGCGAAATTTTAAGAAAAATAGATATTATGTTTTTTCTAAAATCGTCTCTTTGTGGCCAGGTATAACACATTTTAGAATTTTGAGATGAATAATATTATATTCCTTTCATGAATTCGATTTTGTGTAAAACACAACATTCCATCCACGATTTGTGTTTTTCTCGAAAAAATATATGTGAAAAAAAAAGTGTATAATAAACAATTAAACTTGTTATATGGTTAGATGTGGATATGAATTTTTTCTATTTCTCTTGAAGTTAATCTACATTAACGCCCTGTGACGTGATAATTGATCTATCTATTTGACGTATACATTTGACCTTAAATTAGACGCCATAGAAGCATATTAGACGAATGCAGTTAGTCGCATCGACACAGCTGCTGGGACAATGAACTGTCAAACTGATTTTGGAATTGAAAATGTTGAATGAAAAATTACTGAAATTTGTAAAAATTGTTAAAAAATGAATATTATAACACCCTCCTATTGGCGTCGTATAAAAAAAAAAACATTTAAAAATCTACTTATTTTTGATAAAACATTTAAAATTTTTTGAAATATCAATGTTCCCAAGCGTTAATGCATATACCTATATTCTTCTACTATGCCATAGAAGAATATGCCACATCAAAAGGTGTAAATGTAAACATTGGATTAGGTTGGTTTTCTTTAACGCTTCACCAACAAAAGTATACTTTGCGGCGCTGTCGTATTTGTCTCATTTTTATCTATTTTGCTATTCCCGCTTGAAAAGAAAATTTCAAAACAATAAAATTCCCAGACGTTTGAGATAAATTCCAATTCAAGTGTTTTCTTCAAAACACTTAAGACAGGTGAGTTGTGTTTTTAACAAACAACAACAGAGAGAACGGAAGGAACTCAGAGAGCACATTGGTGGTAATCCAATCTAAAAGCCGGTTATTATTGTTTCTCCATTAATCTTGGAGTCTTGCAGATTTTTCAAAGGAGAGAGAAAGAGAATGAGAGATCATTGGCCACAAATTCAATATTGAGGTGCTCAGTATGTATAATTTTTAGCCTTGGTTGTTAGTTCCAAAAGAACCCTAAGAGTGAATTGACTTAAAACGGAAACTAAGAAGTTGGAACACCAACAAAATAGAAAAAAAGAAAAAAATTAACAAAAATAAATAATCAAAATATAGTAATTAAATGGTTCATCTAATGATAATTTTTACAAATAAAAATGGTTAATTAAATGGAATTTACATGGAAAGAGTTCTGTGAAAGAAATAATTGAATCATTAGTTATAAAAAAGTCGAATTAGCCAAACCACATTTGACATCAAAGATTTTTTAGCCAAGAAACCAAGAAAACCTCTTTCTTTAAAATCTCGTTTTGTGTGGATACCTTAAAGGTACAAATATCGCGAAGTGTGTTTTTTGGTGTCGTTGTTGTTTGAATCTGTATGTATCTGACGGTTACTTTCAAAGTACCAGACCCAGGCAAGCGCGAGTCAGACCTATCAAGAAGCAATTCAAACCGTTTACATAGACGCGGGGAGTCATTGTTTGGTGTGACTTGGCTGGTTTGGTGGAGTAAGTTCGCGTGATCATGTGTTGGTGGTTAGATGTATGAACATGCATACCCGTATGTGTATAAACAAGTCTGACTTAAATGGTGTTGGAGTGAGAGTGCAAAAGAGATACCGAGGCAGCTGAAAAAAAAACAATAAAGAAAACCATCAACAGTAACAACAAACACCAACAACTCAACATGAGAGATCATTAAGGCTATATGATGTTGTTGGGTTCAGTATTGTATGGAAATGATAATAATGACAACCTTAGCAAATAATGACGTCGATCATAATGAGGTTGGAGGCATTGTTATTGTTTTTGGTGGCAACAAGTTTTTCGTACAGCAAATAATATTGTTGGTATCGAAATTGTAAATGAAAAGAAAACAAGTATAAAAACATAATGTGAGAGAGTAATGAAACCTGCAACAAAAGAGAAGAAAAAAGACGTTTACATTTGTACCAAAAATATTTGAATATGAATTTGAAAAAAGTAAGAAAGCATTGGGGGCCTAAACATTGTTTATGAGGGTCTGAACTGCATCATTTTACTACAAATGTCGGCCAAAACAGCCAACGCTTTTGAATGATTTACTCAATAATAGGAAATGGCATTCACAGTTGTTAAAAATCGCCAGAAAATTCATTATTTACTAATTTTTTACTAAGATTTTAACAGAATGGTTTTATGCACATTTTACAGAATATTGACGTTGTGAATAAAAATATGCTTTTAACAATATTTTCTAATATAAGTCGACGGGCTACTTTCTACCCAACATTTGTGTGAATCGAGTATTTACTCGATTTTATATAATTTACCAGGATACAAGATCCCGAAGGACCGGTGCTACAACTTTTGAGAACTCAATCATATTGCAGCTATATTCTTTATACTCCTCGAAATAATTGCTTTAGACCCGTTATATTACATATCGAAATATTCATCAAGATAATATATACGTTGTTTTTCGGTCCGCCAATGGAAATCTCTCTGGCTTCTGAACAAAATGAGGTAGGTTGATAACATTTTATTCAGATGTATTTTAGGTCGTAGAATTTCTTTTATAAGAAGTGGACCATATAGATCCAAATTTTGGCAGCGTCCCCACATAACTTTACCTCCCGATTTTCGGTATTTTGATAATGGGTACTCCACTTGGTATAGTCCTCATATACTTCTTCATATTCTTCATGTTCCGTTTTTATACACTCCACCATAGTATGGAGGGCATATTAAGTTTGTCGTTCCGTTTGTAACACCTCGAAATATACATTTCAGACCCCACAAAGTATATATATTCTTGATCAGCATAAAATTCTATGTCGATTTAGCGATGTCCGTCCGTCTATCCGACTGTCCGTCTGTGGAAATCGCTCTAGCTTCCGAACGAATTGATAAAATTTTACTCAAATGTATGTTATGTCTGTAGGACTTCGGGTATTGAAAATGGGCCATGTAGGTCCAGGTTTTGGTATAGCCCCCATATAACTGTACCTCCCGATATTCGGTATTTTGACGATTTTAGCGACATTATTCACCGGAATTGTTTCAAAATTTGGTATTTGAATTTCGTACTGGATACTACAGCCTATGGCAGAAAATGGTCTGTGCAGGTCCACGTCTTCGTATAGCCCACATATAACCTCCCGATATTCGGTATTTTGATGATTTTAGCTATATTTTTATCAAATTTTTTTAAGTTTTGCATTTGAAAATTGTAATGGCTTATGACAAAATCACCTATGCAGGCCCATGTCATCGTATATACCCTAATAAAACAGCTACATTCGGTATTTTTAAGATTTTAACAGAATTTTTAACGGATTTTATTGTTTTTGAGGATTGCCAAATTCGTTCCAAATGGTTGAGGGTATTCAAAGTTCGGGACGGCCGAACTTACAGCTTTTTTACTTGTTATAATTTGAAATATATTTTTCAACGACATTGATTAAAATTTGGTATTCGGAGCTCATAATGGGTATAACCTCCGGACACAGAAAAATGCTAATACAGGTCCTGTCTTGGCATAGACCCCTTACAACTAATTTGGGTCGGCAGAGTCATCCTAATAGGGTAATGACTGCTTTTAGTAATCAAATAAAACAAATTAATTTACGTATGTTTAAGTCGTATCCACATAACATTCCTTAGCTTGGACGGGATCGAAAAACTGTTGCATTGTCTTCCATTGTGACAGAATTTCACGTAGACACACTTACTATCTCATGTCATCATCAGTGACACAGAATAACCGAAAATAAGAAATTTCGCACACCAAAACCAAAATGTGTAGAAAAAGCAAAATTGAGAGATGACAGAAGAAAAACAATAAACAAACCAACCAAACAACAAATGTACGTTTAAGCACAGACAGAGTGTTTAAAACATTGGATGTCAGTTGCAATGAAACACGCTGAATCTGAAAACTTGTTGCATGCCTTTAACTTCTTAGCCTTTCAACACACGCCAGCAAAAAGAACAACACTACTGTGAATACAAATACAACAAATGCACAATCTATGCATAGATTTCAATGTACATATGATGAGTGAAGGTTACCTTCGTGTTACTAAGTAGACACTAGACTAAATCCTATTGTAATTTTTTATGAATCTTTTCACATTTTCCGACCAATTATCAGTAAGGTCTTTGTAGACTGATTGTTAAAAGACTATTGTCTTGACAATCCATTTGCAGGATGTATAGTGTCATGAAAGTTCTGCAGGTTGACTTGTCGAAGCATTTGAATTGAAGCAATAAATGATCAGTTCCCCTCAGATAAGATTTCTACTGATAGTGCTTTAGAAAATTAAATAAAAGAAGATAATACTGGATAAAACTATTTAATTGATGACGATTTTATTCAAACACTCTGTAAATCTGGGATAATTCCTACCGTAATGGAAATAAAATTTGTTGATTTCTATATTTTTCTACAAAAAAATTTGTTATTGGCCGATTTCATATTCTCAAGTCCTGGAAAGCTAAAATAAAGTCTAGAGGATAAAAATGTATTGAACGACAACCAATATTGAAGAAACATTAAGGTTAATTTCAATCCGATATACTATAAATTTTCTTACTTCAAATAATTGAAATAAAGTATAGTAGTATTCAAAAACAATTAAAAGACGTTAACACCTTCCGCCATGAGATAAAGAAAACTGTTACAAAAGGTATGTACCTGCATTTAATATTCGAACTGTAAATTGCATTTAAATCGTTTGAAGTATGCAGTTAAAACTCCAAAATACCATTCCGTTATATAGGAGCTATAGAAAAACGTGAACTCACATAGGTAATTATTCTGCAGCAGAGTGGTTATCTATTTCGAGTTTTAAATACCAAATTTAGGAAGATGCACAATACAATGTTAAAGGGTGATCTTTTCTAAATAGATATGACAATAATCTATCCAATTAGAACTCAAAATGCGAAATTTGTTGGGACTGCAATCAGTGAAATACCGAATATGAAGAGACACTGTAATATCCTTAATATAGAAAATGGTAGAACGAATTGAAAATTTAGTAAGAAAATTATTTATAAACAAGTAAGCAAAGGCTACAGTCGAGCGGGGCCGACCGTTGAATACCCTACAACACTACAATGAACGATACAGTTTATATAGGCGAGATACTCGAAAGAATTCCACAAGATATTGTGACAAATAATAAAAGAAAACCATCAGGTTTCGTTCTCTAATTTTCGAATAAAAGAAACTTAAACTAATTTGATCATTTCCAATTTATTGGAAGATGTTGCACGTAAATGGTCTTCCTAGATCTGGAACCAATATTTCCCAAAGACCTATAATCTCTCAGAAGTGGCAATTGATTAACATTTATTATTGGTTTTTGACTGAAACGCATCTTTATGAGATGCAGACATTTGACTATATTCTTCAACGAAATCAGCGTTAACGAAATAGTCAGAAGTGCGTCTTTCCTGTATTTGTGAATTCTTCAATAAGTCACTGTAATGGACATTTTCGTATTTTGTCTACAAAAGTTGGCAAACTATTTCACACATTGAATATTTTTGGATGGCCATCCAAAACCGCTTGGCTTTTGCAATGCCCGCTAACCCCCATTCAAATGTGGGTGAGGATCGGGCAATAATTACGACCTGCTGCCAATTTTGCAGTTTTTTTTTGGTCCATTTCAACCACTAAATATATGGCGATCATCTCCAAAAAGATTAGGCTTCTATTCTGACCCTCATCTGATCCCCATGACAAATTTCGTTAGGATCGGACCATAAATGCGATCTGTATATGATATCCTGATATCCTAACTACTTAGTTTTGTTAGCTGTAGAAATATTACCAAATGTTTAATTCAAAATGAAAATATGCCAAAAATATGACAAAATTGAAAAAAATATGAGAAAATGTAACAAAATCAATATTTTCATCTTTAGAGAGATATTTTTATGCGGTTTTTAGACGTTTTTTCTTTCCTGCCAAGAGGCCATTCTGAATTAATGAGAACTGTCGAAATCAGTTCAGCCGTTCTCGATATATAAAAGGTCTTTCAAGCATATCTTCTTTGATAGACATATATATCTCACATATTTTGCTATATATCCGTTTTGTTGGATGTTAACATCAATGTAAAGATCAGAAGTAACCTTGTCATGGCTTTGTGATTTCGCCGGGATTTAAAATATTCGCGGTTTAATGAAAAATTTTGAATTTTTTCAACACAAAAGATATGGTCTATTTTACCCGCTAAATATTATCGGATGACCACCCAAATTGGTAGGCTTCTTCCCCGCCCTAAAATCTAGCTACATGCGAAGTTCCGCGTCGATTGGTCTATAATTGCGACCTGTATAGCTACTGCAAAATCCGATTTTTTTCAGTTTTTGGTCCATTTCGACCACTAAATATTATGCGATCATCTCCAAAAGAAATTGGGTTCTATTCTGACCCTAGCCCCACCTCCATTCTAAATTTCGCGAAGATCGGGCCATAATTGCGACCTGTAGAGTGATTACAAATTAACATGGACAGACGGACAGACGGACGGACGGACATACATAGCTAGAACGACTCAACTTGGCGAGATAGGAAGATCCATATATACTTTCCTATGTGGGAAATCAATATTTCGAGGTGTTACATAATTTTTGGCCCAATCAAACTTATAATACCCCCGACACATAGTGTTGTAGGGTATAAAAATTTCCGAAACCTTAAATGCCGCTTTCAAAGTTTAGTTATTTGAGATTTTAGAACAAACATTCTTTCAAATAATTGTAAGTATAGACCCACGCTTTGTTATAACCCACATATGAAGGTATCCACTGATTTTAGCTATTTCCGGGGCCTTGGGCACATTTTCTAAGAGGGTAGAAGACCTATTTGCAGAAGAGTTCAATGTTTCGGAGTAGCATCCATATAAAGGTCCCTCTTGATTTTATCTATTTCGAAGGTTTGACCATATTTTCCAATAGATTTGGGTAAAGATGTGTATTTAGGCTACTTTGGGGTAGATAACTATCTTACAAGGGGCTATTAAAAACAGTTGATAAATATTATTTAATATATGTGCTCTATCATTTAAGTTTCTAACTTTCAAATTGAAACATTTGACTGAAAAATAGGATCAGATTTTTTGAAACACTCTAAATCGATCGGGTTTTTAAGTTAACTATGTATTAATGACTAAACTGCGGGCCGGCAACGAGGACCGGGCAGCTAGTTAATTATAATCGTTTATACTGTCGATCTTTCAGAAAACAACCGAACCGAACAATCATTTAGAATGCGACGTTTGTCTGAATGTTACACATCTCTTATATATGATCTAATACATTACAAATTTAAGTTGTAATATATATTAAAACAAAGCCTATCTAATAAAGCTGCACGAACATTGGGTTAAGACGATGCTCCAGCGGGAACTCACTAGCAAGCCAGTTATTGTGAAATTCTGTTCATTTTTTGTTTTTGTGGTCAAAAAAAAAAAAAAAAAGAAAAACTTTATAAAAATTGCCTGGTATCTACACCACAACAACAAACGCCAATACAAATTCGTGTATCCCAAAAACCAAATCTTTGAAACCAGTTTGATGAAGAAAACAACAACGAAAACACACAAATTCAAATAACAACAAATGGAAGTGGCACAGACGCGTTTCTGTACCAAATCTTCGGAAAAAGTGTATCTGCTAAAACATAACAAGAAACAAAGGCGATAAACCAATGAAGAAGTGCTATTTAAAAATTCCTCATGAAATATTTTCTAGTGAAATAAGAATTCCAGAAGAGAGAATTCTTTGAGCTCTTGTTTGTTTTTGCCAATATTTTGCACAGTTATAGTATTACGTTCTTAATCATTATAAATAGTTAAGTGTTCTTATGTGGTCTTTCTCATCAATTTAAGCTATTCAAAAAAAAAAAAGTGAAATATTTTGTGAATCACCGAGAATATAATTATTGTTACAAATGTCTGCAACAACAATTTTATTTAATGTTATTTCATTGAAATACAAATGTTGATCAACGATGGCCACATTAGGCCTTTCAAAAGTCTTCATACTGGATAAATACTTTACGGAATTACAAAAATTTTGGGAGACGGAGAAGAAGTTGCAGGGTAAGTTTATGAAACCTTAATTACATGGAATGGAAAATTCTTCATAATATAAGGCTAGTTTCAATTAACAAGAATTGTTCTGTTTTCTTAATTTCATTATTATCACATGGCTTTCAGCAATAACAATGTGCAACAAAATTCAATTTTTTCAATAATTACGCGAAAAATCCAGGAAAATATAAAAACAAAACATAAAAAAGAAGAAACGTATAACGGTGTTTTGAAAATTTACATGGAAGAGTAACTAAAATAGTGGGGGTACGTTCCCTTTCTCTTTTGCACTATTGGAAATTTTGGGATAGAGATTCCTCGTGATTCGTACATTTTAGGTTATAGTGTTTTTGGCAATAATGCAGATAAAAATTCGAGAAATATATTTTGGTTGGAAGTTTAAAATCTCAAGCGAGACAACAAAGGGGTCTTTTTGGTCACCTTTCACACAAATGATGGCCTTCAAACTGCCAATGAAACCGTCACACGCTGCCCGAATGTTGCTCTGCGGTATTTTGGCCCATTCCCGACGAAGCGCTTGCTTGAGGTGATCGACCTTTGGTATTGTTTAGTGCCAACTTTGCTTTCCAAAATACTCCAGACACAATAGTCAAACGGATTGGTATCCGGAGATTTTGGTGGCCAGTGTACGCTGGGAATGAAGCGAGGAACCTTATTTTGTAACCATTTTTGGGTGGCACGCGCTGAGTGCGATGGTGCAGAGCCCAGTTGGAATGTCCAAGGTCTGCGGCCAAAAAAGAATATTTTCGCGATAATATTCGGCATTTATTTTGATGCCACGGTCGATTAATACAAACGGAGAGCGACCATCGGCTGTTATGGCGGCCCATACCATCACCATGGCCGGCACTTGAGTTCTTGTGGCCAACTGAAGGTGCACATTTTCAGCTGACCGATATGCGATATGTTCAGCTCACGTGCCATTTTTCGGCCACTGCGACGCGGGTTTAGATCAAGTCGCTTCTTTACTTTTCGAACCATTTCTGCTTATTTTGCTGTTTTCTTCCGTCCACTTCGGGCAACCCTACCAGTATCACGGTAACGAGCGATAGTATGCGACACAAAAGATTTATTCAAATGTAAATGCTTCAGTGCTCTACCGATAGCCACTTGTGGTTTTCCAGCCAAATATAAAGAAATCACACTATCACGCTTGAATTCCATCGCCAATAACTTTTTTCTGCAAAATTCTCACCAAAATGCTTTTGTACGCTTGTAAACAAATAATAAGCTTTTACTGGAATAATTTTAACAGCTGTCGGACGAGCGGCTTAGAAATGACAGCAGCCTGAAGTTGGATGCAGTTTTTCATATTACCCAGTACGTAATAAAATCTATATATATAAAAATCAATTGTTGTTTGATGGTACCGGAATCAGTTGAAAACGGCTGGACCGATTTGCATAATTTTTTGTAAAAACGTTCGTCATACCCCGAATTAGGTTTTTAAAGAAAAAAATATTGACCACGCCTCCTTTTACGTCCACTATTACGATTTATCTAAAATCTTTATATTTGCCAAAATAGTGAAGATATCGGTTTGAGAATTATTACACGAGATGCTGTTGGCTTTCCATCCAACCCTAAGTACTTATTTAGGGGCGGAGGAACGCGACTACTTTTAAATCGATCTCTCTATATGTAAAAGAAAGTTGTGTTAGTTACTACTCTTATAACATAAAGTCTGATTTTAACGATTTAGACAAATTCGGAATTGCCTCTTGGCAGAAAAGAATAAAATCCAAAAAAAATCGCGTAAAAATGTGAAATTTGAACATTTTCATTTTGACTTTTAAAATGTACAATAGTAATCTATATATATAAAAGGAAGTTGTGTTAGTTACTACGCTTATAACTTAAGAACCGCTGGACAGATTTTAACGATTCAAACAAATTCGGAATTGTCTCTTTTCCGAAAAGGATAATATCCAAAAAAATCGCGTAAAAATGTGATATATTAACATTTTCATTTTGACTTTTGAATTGTACAATAGTAATGTTTTATTTTGCATGATTTTTTTCCATTTTGAATTACTTTTTTCTAAAGTACATTTGTAGTGTTTTTTATATTTTATTTTTGAATTCGAATATTAATACCAATTTATTTAATTGACTTGATTTCTTGAGAACTGAAATTGATGGCGGGTTACATGGAAGTGTAGTACCGAATTATGCGGTGGCGAAACGGAATAGAGGATATCGAAATAATTAAACGCGGTCACACCAAAGTTAAAAGATAATTACTTTTTCAAAATCGCTTAAAACTCACGAAAAAGAGATCTCATTGCACAAATTCTGAAATCGGGAAAAAATCGAAAAACATTTTTTTTTTCAATGGAATCGATTTTTAAAATAATAGTACATTCTATTGACAAACTTTGTAAGGACCTTTAAACATTTGCTGTAAAAAATCGGCTAACAAGTTGAATATTTTTACAATTTGTTATTCTTTTTTTGTCAATTTTTTTTTTCAATTTGTAATATCATATTGAATTCAGTTGATTTTTTGTGAACAAAATGAAGAATAATTTTTCACTATACAATTTTTCACCAAAATAAGTGCGAAATAGAATGTAAACTGACATCTACCTTTCAACTCCAGGGCCTATATCGTGATTCAGCTGGAAGATGCGAACACATTTAAATAATCAAAAATGACCGGAAAAGCCTAATGGGCCTCATCTCAAAGCGTGAACATACCTTTTTTATGTGACAATAATCCGTCCAATGAGAGCTCAAAATGCTAAATTCTTTGGGAGTACAATCAGGCAAATACCAAATATAAAAGGTGCAAAATAGTAGAGCGAATGGGACTTTTATTAAGAAAAGGATTTCTATCCTCCCAGAAATTCTTCCCAAACATTCAAGATACCTTAAATCGCTTTTGCAGGTCATGATATAGATCATAACTCACGGATAAGGGTACAACCCGATTTTATATTTATATAACCATCATATGATTCAAGCTATTTTTGTGGTCTTAGTCCCTTTTTATTTTTTGGCCCTTATTAGGCATCTTTGTGTCTAAGAGGGTACAGAACCTCTTCGCATAAAATTTGAAATTTTCAGAGTAGGGCCCATATTGGTCTTGAACCCATTCATCAATTGATTTGGCTAAAAAATTTTGTTATGCTACCCTGGGGAAGGGAACCATCATACAGATAATTGCCACATAGGAATTATTTAAGTAAAGTCTCCACATTGGAGTATCCCCAAGTCCACTTTCACACCTAATGTGTGGTCAGAAAAGAAAATTTTGTATTCTATTGAATTTGCAACTCCCAAGAGAATATTGGTTGGGAACGTAGATTTGGAATGTACATCTATATAAAATAAATTGTGGGAACATGAACTAATTACAAATATAAGAAAGTAGTACGGGACCGAATATTTGTTGAATCGACATTGAATTATACTATGATGAAAAATATGGACTTTATGGGGTCTACAATTTACAATTTAAATGGAAAATAAAATAAATTCCCATCTTACGGTAATGGGTGTGAAATACCTATAATTTTGATTTGGCCTCTATTTGTCATATTGGATTTTAACGGGTAGAAGAAAGTTTTCAATGTAGGTCGATGTTTCGGAGTATGGCCCATATAAAGGTACCTCCTGATTTTACCATATTTCAAAGGATTTGGCTAAAAATGTGTATTCGGGGGGTGAAAATCTTACACAAAAATGTCAACATATTCACAAATATTATAATTTTCTCCATGCAATAGTATCCCCTCAAGTCCACCTTTTGGCGGACAAACAGACCGACATGGTTAGGGGGACTTATGAGGACTCTAATGCACAATCCAAGGTGCTAATGGGGTTAAAAAAGTAATTTACTTTGCCTATTCTTAAATCATTCAGCCCTCAATTATGAGGTGTACAAAATACAGCAAATTCCAAATTGCTTCTCATTTGACTGTAAAATTTTGCTACGATTTTTACCATACTAAAAATTAATTTGATCCCTTACATGGGGATAAGATTCATATACACTTTTTAATAGATTTGTATAGCACATCCACACATTCGAAGCACACGGTTTAAATATTGAAGTCCACGGCTTATAAATGGGTACAGATATTTTAAAACACTTTTAATCGACCAGTACGTGAACACTTATATCAGTCATATCTGTGAATAATTATGCTTTTAAAAATATGCATAATAAACAAAAACTACGGGCCGGCAACGCGGACCGGGCCAGCTAGTGTTTTATATTTACATTTGTAGTGTTTTTAATTCTAATATGATGTGTAGGTTTTTTTAGGGTAGTATAAAGCCACAACGGATAAAACTGTTATTTATAGATTTTATGTATTTATTCGTAATACCCAATAAATGCATAAAATCTATAAATAACAATTTTATCCGTTTTCGTTTTCTAAAATCGGGAAAAATCGACAATTTTTCAATGGAATCGAATTTCAGAATAATAGTACATTTTACCGACAAACTTCGTAAGGACCTTTAAAAATTTGCCGCAAAAAAATCAGCGAACCAGTTGAAAATTATTTTTCTATATTGAAGTGTACATTTTTTTATTGGTTTGAATTCTGAATGAATAATATTAAAAATGAAATGAGGGCGCAATACGATGTTAAATGCTTTCCACTCCAGGACCTACATCGTGCTTCAGCTGGAAGATGCGAACACATTTAAACAAACAAAAATGACCAAAAAAGCGTTATTGGGTTAATTTCAAAAAGTGGACCTGCTTCTTTCATATCGCAAAAAATTGTCAAATGAGAACACAAAATGCAAAATACATTGGGACTGCAATCAGTCAAATACCGACTATAAAGAACGCAAAATAGAAATTCTACCTAAACATTCAAGATACCTTTAATCGCTTTGGCAGGTCATTATATGGGTCATAACCCCTGATAACGGAACAACCCGATTTCAAGTATATTCTACATTTTAACCATATTTTTCGTACTAATTTTAGCTTATGTTGATAATTTAATAAGAAACCATATTTG